TCTCCCCTCCCCCCTGGATAACCGAACCAAGGTACTTGAAGTTGCCTCTACTCGGGATGACCTTGTGAATCAAGCCTCACATCCACGCCCACTTCCCCTGGCTCAGCGCTGAACTTTCACTCCAGGTATTCCGTCTTCATCCTGCTCAGCTTGAAACCCTTAGACTCAAGAGCCTGTCTCCAAACCTCCAGCCTCTCGTTAACACTGGCTCGCGATGTGAGACAAAATGAAAAAATGCAAAAGATTTTTAAAAAAGAAGAGAAAACGTTAATTTGAAGAGTTAGGCAGCAGAATTGAATTGAGGAAGTAGTCAGGCTACGCGAGGATATTTGCTCGCTAAAAAGTTGGCGACGCACGGTGTAAGGCGAGCTGGAGGCACGCGGCAGAGCAGGCTAGGCGCGGTCTGTCTCAAGGTGACGCGTGGTCCGGGTTTCAAGCCTATTTCATCTGCTTTTTGATTTTGGACTAGGTTATTTCGTCTAGGCCTTTTCCCTACACATATAAATAGTCATTAAACACCATTTTTTAGAGGAGACGGAGAGGGGACCGAGATTAGACCTGGGATTTTGACCTAAGGAGGCAAGAACACACTAGGAACAAGGCGGAAAATTCTTCTACGAGTTTTTCACTTCCTTCTTCCTATTTCCATTATTGGTTATGAGTTCGAGTGTTGTAGTTTTACATACTATTATGAATAGCTAATTTATTATCTAGAGTTTTGATAGAACCTTTTGTAGGATAAATTCTTGTTATGTTTTTATATAATTGAGCCGTTGGATTTCTCTACTTGTTCAACTACGTTATTATTGTGGTTGGTTGAAGAGCTCTCAATCGATTGTGCCTATTTAGTATGTATTACTCAGAAGAGAGTGCATATTTAGGTAGTTGTTGAACAACATCACTCCTAACGTAAATGAGGGATCAATACGGAGGGTTTAAAGGTGGGATTAGGAATAACAAAATCTTGGTGCGATCCGAGTGAGCCGTACTTAGTGCCAGCTAACGTAATTCGGAAAAATATGTCTAGTACATTGTGGTAGTTACTTGGGAGAGAATTACGACACTCATAGAGCTCATGATCGGTAGAGAAAATTTAGGTAAAATTATAGAAGGCATAGCGGGAAGGATTCTGACAATTGGGAAAATCATAACTCTAGACCTCCTTATTCTTGTATCAAATTTCATCCTTGTTATTTAATAATTTTACTGCTTTATAATAGTTATTCGTTAATTAGTTAGAAATAAATATTATAATCTCTATAATTAGAAAATTATTTGGACTTGTGTTTCTTAGTAATATTGAACAGTTGTAGCTAAGCATTAGTTCTCTGTGGGATTCGACTCCTGACTTGTAAACCGGATTATATTTACAACGACCGCTTAGTCCTTTTTATAAGGCATAGTTGGGCGTGATCACTTAACTTTGGCCATGCTTTCTGCTAGACGCGATCAGATTTATTGCAGTTGTAACCTGATAAGTTTCAGTCAACACATTTAAATTAGTCTGTGAGATTGCTATATCAAAGGTTTCTGTACAAGTTGATGAATCTCAAAGAATATTACCCCAATCTAATTTCGTGTTCTGGAACACATGATTTCGCTTGTCCACTGAAACTTCCCTCTTCTTTTCTAATGTCAATTGCTCCATAACCCTGAGAAAAGAAAAAAACTTTAATTTCTGGTGCACTCATATGAGGTAGATATCTCTGTTTTCTGAGTTTATAACAGAAATATGTACCTTCTTATGAAGTTGTCTATTTTCATGTTGGACGAGAGTGACCTTCTTAGACAGTTCTATATTTTCATGATGAATAAGAGCTCTCTGCAGGATATTAATTAGAGGTGGTAGGTAATTAGAACAAGGGCAAATCAGCTTCTAATTAGAATCAAATTTATGTACTGTGATTAAAAAACCTTTTGATTTAATTCTTCTATCTCATCAGTTAGCATTTTTTCCTGCAAAAACGTGAAAGCTTGTGAAATATTAAACATTGATGTCATTAGTTAAATTATATGTTATGCCATATAAAAATTGGATAAGGAAGAGATTTTCTTGCCTTTCTAGTGCGGATATTGTTCAATCTCATTTCCAGTTGGTTTTCCAGAGTGTGGAGATCGCCGATTCTCATGCCTGAAAGTTCTTCACCCTTAAGTCTCCTGCAATATTTTACTTTGATAGTTGTTGACATTCTATAACTTTGCTAATAACCAAAGACATCAGCATAATACGTGTCATATTAGTCTTGCTTTTGTTTTACTAGTAAGTAATTAATTGGATATATATTTTTCATTCTTAAACGTGATTAGGATAAGATCATGCATCCTCAGTCCAGATTTAGATCAAGCATAAGCGTGGAAATTTATAGTATTAAACAAAGACAGAGGTCCCAAATTATTTTCTGAATGTGATGATCTTGATATATGTGGACATTTTGACAATTACAAACTGCCTTATATTTTCAAATGAATCTCACCAAATCCTTGTCAATAATTACAAAATCTTTGTATTGAAGTTCAATCTCTGGTAGATAGCTGTATCTTTTCTATTTCCTTTTAGGTATCCTTTTTGTTTTGGTCGATTGATTCAACATCAACGTAACAGCTGTTCAAGTAGAGCACACCAACTTCATCAGTAAGAGAGGACCTTTCACACTAAAATACACCTCTACTTTGGAGTGTTTTTTACATTTGTTACTACAATCAATGTTGATATATATGAGGAATAGCCAGAATGTCATGATATAATCACTACAAATGCTTATAAGAATTCATTTTGTAGTGTATATATATTCCCTTCAAATAATTTTTAGCTAATGTGCATCTACATTTAGAATACCTTCACTAGACATTGCGTATTTGTACAAAATATATATATGCATCGGCTAGGCGAAGGGGATATTATGCATGCTCTTGGAAAAAGTAATATGTGAACCTGTAGTTCTCTTGCAGATCGTCCATTTGCTGTCTCAGCCTTTTTGCCTCTGTCCGCCACAACTGGCAGTTAAGAAACATAGCCGTTTTAATGATGTTAAAAAGGAAACCAGCAATAATATTGTTGAGTGAAGCATTGCTTGGTCTTTGAAACATTTTTTTTTTTCTATTACAGTTTTTTGGTTGGTTAGAAGGACTTCATTTACATTTACCAGATATCTTTCGCAAGATACATATCCCTTCTAGGCATTTTCACATACCCAAGAGGAAAATCAGATGCTGCACCGCAACAGCAGATCAATATTTTGGAAGATCTCAAAGTGTATTCACTTTTTGGTTCTCAACATACAAGGTAGTGGTCAATACCAAAGCCCCCGACACCACAATGCGGCTTTAATTAAAACGCAAAAGGCATATTCTAACTCAGAAACCTTGTTGTTTCTGCCAATGGTTTTATTTTTACAGAGGGTCCGATGCAATTGAAATTTAGATTGAATTGAGCTAACTAAGTTCTGTTTAGACGATTATTAATGTTAGTGAAGTCGTGGATCTATAAGGAGTAAAATGAGTAGAAGATTACCTTGGCCTCTGAAAAGGGTGTCAACAATTGATGATGTTCCTTCTCTTCATTATATCTGTCAAATATTGATTTCATGCTGATAAGGAAAAGCTAAGATATTAGTCAATTGGAAGGTCTACATTGCCAAGATATTAAAGGTGGAAATTATGCTATTTGGTGATGAGGAGATTATAGCATGCGAACGTGTGATTACACACATGAGCAAATCAAGGAGCTTTGCCTCCTCTAATCCTATAGGAAGAATGAGAGTAACCGTTCTTTTACTACAGTTTTCACTGATCGACGAAGAACTTATACATGGGATTTTTGCTAGTCTAAAACTGAAAGAAAAGTGATCAAAAGATATAAAACAACCAAGATATTCCTACATGAGTTCATGCTATTAACTTGTAATGTTGCAACCAAAACACAAACAACATCTGTTTTGTATTTTTCCTTCCTCTTAACCAACAAAAGATGAAAAATTGTAGTGCTGGAAAACAAGCGGAGGAAATATTCTTCTTCAAGTCTCTCAGTTTACCTTAAATAAAAATGTCTATATATAGTGCCTTGATATTTATAAATTTTTTTCGAACTTGTACCTAGACCAGCAGGGTTGATCGAGGTATGAACTTATTGTGCTCAAGCACCCATTAACACCAACTTGACTCTAGTAGTTATATAGAAAACAGTAAGAGAACTAAAATAGAATAGTCAATACCCAGTAAATAAAAAGATCCCTTGGTGCTTTGGATCAAGGGCGAAAGTTAACGCTTGAGGAGTTTGGAGGAGCATAAGTACGATTCTTAAGCAAAGCATTCGCTACTTTTCCACAACACATTGACTTTCTCTTCTTTCCCTAATTCCATATCTAGTCTTATTCTTTCAATTGTTGATGTTTTCTTTGTGTTCTCTTCTTTTTTATGTTTCCTTTTTTATTTATTTGTCTCATTGTGGCACATAAAAACGAAAAAGTAAGAACTAAGAATTGATTGAAGCTAGAGAAATTGAAAAAGAAAAGAATGTGCCTCTCTTAATATTTTTTGTGGTTTTTGTGGCTCAAAAGAAAAACGTTTCGGGTACTATAAAAATGGAAAACAGAAAAGCGAAAAGCTTTTGCAATTATAAGAAATGATGCTATTATATATCGTTTTCAATAAGTAGCACAATTGTGACTTGACTAGAATTTTTTTAATAATGATATTATTATTAGTAGTTCATTGTGACTTGTATCTAGAAGTCTTTTTTCATAATGATAATATATTAACCGTAGATTTGTCATTAATTATTTTTACTGTCGCAAATAGTTGTGCACTTATACTATGCGATTGGTAGCACTTTACGTTCTACGTTATTTAACTCTAGAGTTCTCCCTTTCTCAAATACATGTACGTACAAAACTATCATTGTTACATCAATTTCTTAAAACATGAACCAAGTAAATTCATGTGCTAATTTGGATGAATCTAATTTTATTATTCCGCATCTTCCTTTAAAATAATTGATTCATTACAATAGGCATTTTGGGAAACATCAATCTTTAATGGCTGGCTAAAGATATCCATAACTTATTCTTGTGACTTTACCACCTTGAGTTCAAATTCTTTCTTGGATCTTCCTCGCTACCTTGTTCACAACCAATTTCATGAGAATCAAATGTTTCATATTTCCTCTTTTAACAAGCATTTGCTTGCAAAGCTTGTCTGGCTGATTCTTATTTCGGTTTTTCATGGACTCGCAAAAGTTTGGACAAGTTTATCAATGGTCGTGATCTCCAAATCCATGAACTCTTCTATTGTGACAACAATGCTAAATCATGAATCACGGATCGTTGAAGTTTTGCAGCTATAGAATCATCCATCAATTCTTCTTCGTCTCTCTCATCATCATTTGTCATTGTCATTATTACCTTTTTTCTGTCTTCATATATAGAAAGTATTGTTCTTGAATATCTCATCACCAAATCTATGATGAATGAGATTGAGGTTATCCATCTTTCTCATGGAAGTGACATTATTTGCTACCTATCTATTCAAGATTCTTCCTCATACATCTACTCCATATAGGTAACTGCTTTATCAGGATTATAAACGTCGGTGGGCTCCTTATCCTCAAATCTTTCAAAAGCTACTTAATTGCTATCTCGGTACGTAGTTCTACTACCTAAAAATATAATGTCTTCAGCTTCGTGCTTCCCCATCCCATCATCTAGCTAATCTCATTCACATTCGTTTTATTCTGAAGATCATTCATTTTCGAATCTTCGTCCGCATGTTTCTCAAGACAATTAACTTTGATGCCATAAGTTAAAAATTTTGGAAACGAAGAGGATTCTCAATCATGGTTTCTCTTCAAAATGTACTCTTCTTACTTCTCTCAACTTTCCTTAAAGAAAATGTCTATATATAGTACCTTGATATTTATAAACTTTCTTCGAACTTGTACCTAGACCAGCAGGGGTGGATCTAGATATGAATGTATTGTGCTCAAGCACCCATCAACCTACTGTTCATGAAACTGACTCTTGACTCTTACTATTCATGAACGACCTTTACTGTTCATGAAACTGACTCTTACTATTTACTTTACGACTTTTACAAAAAAACAAAATAACATAAAGAAAAGAAAGGAATCTAATATCGTAGTTATATAGAAAATAGTAAGAGAACTAAAATAGAATAGTCAATACCCAAATAAAAAGATCCATTGGTGATTTGGATCAAGGTCGAAAATAATTAACTCTTGAGGTGTTTGGAGGTGCATGAGTACGATTCTTAAGCAAAGCATTTTGTCACGTACTTAGTGTTGAACTAAGCACACATGCGGCACTTGACAACTTGTTCACGATCTAGAAGAGTTGATGGATGAAGGGGTCATTGCAAAACTTTTACTCCATTCGTTTCAATTTAGATGAGTTAGTTTGACTTGCCAAAAAATTTAAGAAAAAAAAGAACACTTTTGAAACATGCGGTCCTAAAAGCTTAAGGGACAAAAGTTTTGTTGGGTCATAGTATTTGTCTGGCTATAAAAGCTATAAAATAAAAAATTTAAAGTTGAATTGTTTCTAAATATAAAAATATATCATTTTTTTTTAAAGAGACTAATAAGAATGCATACATGATACTATACATGTATTTGGAAAAAAAAGGTGCACGTTAGAACAGTGTTGATAAGTAAATAGGTACCAATGGTCATTTTATTAAAGCCAAGTTGAGAAAATAAGTAAAAACACTTTCCTTCACTTCTCATCATGAGAATTTGATGATTTAAAGATGCTTCTAATAAAGTCTCCCCAAAATTTCCAACACTTTCATATTGATTCTCATACTAGCAGGCTAGCAGATCTTATCTTCTCAAGGCATGTCACCGATACAAAATTTCAAGAAATATAACCTATTCCAACAAAGGTAAGCCCTATGGTAAAAACCTCCTCATCCTAATTCATACATCATTTATATTCGTCTAGTACCCTGCAGGCGGAAGGACCAATTAGAAAGCTTTGTTAACTGCTGCTTAATTAAGATTGACGGGTATTATTTTCACCTAGCTCCAAGGATAATGAGTTAAATTAATTAATTAATTTAATTCTCCAAATTATTGTTAGTATATAATTACTTCTGTTCTAACTGAGCATATAATGTCTCAGCATTAAAGAACATGTTATTTATTTCCGCGATAGAAAACTTAATTAAGACGTAGTAGAGTAGACTAAGTTTCAAATCAGTCCTGCAAATATTTTGTATGGTTAATTTCGAATGAAATTTCTTTAATAAGAACCTGGAGTTTGAGTATTCATAGAGCCGACCAGTACTGGAAAAGATGGTTACTCCAACTTCAGCGTCGCAAAGGATGGCTAGTTCCTTGGCTTTCTTAATTAATCCGCTTTTCCGTTTTGAGAAGGTCACCTGCCTACTGGCCGGATTGTCAATTCTTCTGATCGCGATCTTTCCTCTTGCCATAATTTAACCCTTCACTGCTACAACGTAGAGCTTTACAGCTTCCAGCTTCTGCACACGAACCAAACTAAATTGGCTTTCAATGTCAATTGATAATTGAATTTATTGGTTAAATGGAAAAATTGCATATTTACGAGAAAATGATGAGAGGGGTGCTTACTGTTTGAGATGCTTAATTGGTTAGAAATTTATGGTCAGCGCGAGCAATACAAGGATGAAAAAACCGCTTGTTTTGATGAAACCCTATAATTCAAAAGTGGTTTATGAGTACGTGTGAGATGAGGTCATGGATAAACTAAAATACAGACAATAGAGTTGCTTAACAGCCAGACACTATCATATAGTATAGTAATATACTCTACTAATCGTACCTTTTCTCCATAACAACGCACATGAACCTAACACGCCTAAATTTTTTGGATGTTAGCGTACGTCGATTTAATTATTAAACGTTTTTAGGATAGTCTTGTAATTACAAGGAGACATACCATGTGATTACATTTCAGTCTAAGGAAATTTTATTATTTTTACTAAGCAAATGCAGCCTTTGGGGTTGGGAACAAGCTAAGCAACCATCTATATTAATAACCAATATGTCTTATCACTAAGACAAAATGGTTATTGATATAGAAGTTTACTTATTCCTACCAGAGGATGCTTTTCTCTGTCCAATATGTAAGCATGTATAGTTGGAGGACATGAACCATTACCTCCACTTTTCATGTTTTGGAAAGGGGTTTCCTCATTCCATGAGAAAAGCATAGGTATTTCAGCTCTGTACGGAATCAAAAGGTTGCCATTTTTGACTCGAGAAACAGAAATTAGGTGGAAAAATATTTTGAAAACAATTCTATATATAGCACATATAATAGTTGCGCTATACCTGTTTACTCGAAAAATAGATAGAGTTGAATTTATACATAGTTCCGAGGATATGTGGCGTAACTTAACACAAAATGCAAGGATAAATAAAAAGTGTAAATATAGATTGGGGAGAATGCTAAAATAGATAAGGTTATCAGGAACAATGAATCTCAGGATTCAACAAATAGAATCAATCTAAGAGATCTGAAAGAACGGTGTTTTTCTGTAGAAGAATATAGCCATTTTATTACAATGTAAGCCTTGGAAAAACTTGTTCTACAGAAATAGTAACCAAGCCCTTTTATAGTGGAGGGATTTGGCTCTAAGCATAATAAAATAAATATTCAGTGGGAGACCCATGATAAATCAGCTTTTCCATAATTTCTGCCAAGATTCTCTCTAGTGGGATTGCAACGGCTTTTGTCTGTGAGCTCGATCTTTCTTAGAACCCTCGATTTTGGTTTGAGCTTGATTTCGGATCGAACTCATGATCTTGGTTCGAGCCCGATCCTGGCTCGAGCCCTCGAATTGATTCGAGGTCAATGTCGGTTGGTCTCTGGATTGTCAGCATGGTAGATTTTGATTCGAGCTTGGTAATGATATCGAACTTAACACGGATCGGCCTCCCTAGGTTCGAGGATAGTTTGCTCCACCTTCGGGATCTCACTTTGATAAATCATCGTTTGAACTCGATCGGACGTGCTAAGGCCGAAACCTATTTCGACCATATACAGATAGTCCCCTCGTTTCTCAGAAAGAATGTGGCGAGAAATGATATGATTTTTTTTAACAGCTCGATCGGATTATATCTTGTCGTTTCCATCGGGTTCGACCATGACGCATCTGGTAGCTGTCCCGTCGATTTAGTCTTTCAAGGCATTTAACGCATGTCAGGCGGTGGTCGGCCACTGTTGATATTGAACCGCCATCGCTTGGACCTATAAATAACCCTTTCTTTTATCTTTTACCATTTTTACATCTTCTATCTTCCAAATTTCCCAAGTTCTTCTTCGTACTCTCCATCTTACCAGTAAATCTGTGATTTCTTTCCGCAAAAATCCCTCTTCAATTCTACCAGATCTTTATCCCTTTCTTCTACTCCCCACCTTTGAATTCTAAAATGGCGAAAACATCGCAAACCATTCCTCAGAAAGAGAAAGCTTTATCTTCACAGTGTGCCGCCGATGAGACACCGGCAGAACCACGGCCTGAGGAGTGTGTTCCCGGGGCGTGTGTCCTTACTTCAGATTTTAAGGTCGATAAAGGTTCATCGGTCCCTGGCCGGTGTGAGCCTGTATCGAGGTACATGTGTTCGATAACCGAAAAGCACCTCGAACAGCTAAAGAAAGATTGCAATTGGGGTGAGAAAGAAATAATAATTCCTACGCCCGACGAAGATATCACTTCTTACGTGAAAGGGTTTTTGAATGTGTATACTTACCCTTTCACTTTGGGTCCCTTTGATTCTGTTATTATTGACTTCTGTCGACAATACCAAGTAACCCTAGGCCAGGTCCATCCTTCTTTGTGGCGGATCGTTATCCTGATCCGATATTTTGTGAGCAAGATCGAGGGGATGCCGTTCACCCTCGATCATCTTATCCGATTGTACCATCCTCGACTTTTTCGAGGGGGGTTAATAAAACTCCAGCGTCGGGCTACCAAGGCTCTGTTCTCGAGTATTGACGAGGACAGGGACCGAGGTTGGATGGGCAAGTTCGTTCGAGTAAGGACTTCGGACCTGATCCCGACTGAAAAGATGCCCTTTCCCGAGGAGTGGAATATGAAACGTAAGTGTGATCTTGCTGTTACTTCTATTTTCTTCTTTCATTTATTCTTTCATCGACACTCCCCTTCTTCTTGATGTAGCAGTTCCCTGGATGCCCGGAGCAATCCCTGATCTCAAGAACTGGGTACGAGCCCTAGTTTCGACCTCCACATATGCCGAGCGCTCATGGCGTGATTTGTCAAAGGGTCGGTGGGAGGCCAAAAATCACGGTAAACCCATTTCTCGAATTTTTTGATGATCCGAACGAGACGGTTTTCAAAATATTTTATATGCAGGTCTGGGTAAAGACACGGTTTTGATGCCATTGCCCAATGAAGAGGGAATTTCGGCCTCTGTTCCAAAGCCGATAAAGGAAAATAAAAGGAAGAGAGCCTCGGTTCCCGAATATCCAAAACCGAAGAAGAGGACGGCTCGTAAGCCGAACAAGAATGGCATTCCTTTGATCGTGGAATCCGTTCTGCTTCTAAGGGATGAAGATGAAGATGAAGAAGAAGAGAACGATGAATGCGCTCTGGCAGTCCGAACGAAGAGAACCACCGATGCCTCATCACCGGCTGGATCGATGATGCTCTATGAGGTTTCGCCTCGAACTGAAGATATACCGGAGAAAGATTCAGGTAGAGTCCCCGAACTATCGGATATCGAAGACGCATCTCATCGGAGTCAACCGGCAGGGGATATGATCGAAGAGCCCCTTGAACCCCTTCGAACCGAGGGGAACGCTCAAGGCGAGCCATTTGGGCCAGCAACAGTCGAGGATTCGCCTACCTTTCCCGCTTTTTCTGCAGGGGTGATTCTGAAAGCTCAAGCTCTGGGAGCCCTCGATCTAGACAGGCCTCACGATGAAGAATATCCCTTTCGTGACCTGTTTACCGGCATTGAGGACGTTGTCGGTACTAGTAATGAATCGGATCTTTTTCATGGATTGCGGCAGGCTTTGAATATAGTGAGCTTTTAAAACTATTTTGTCGGTACTATCTTCATGTTCGTTTTTCGTTAACTTCACTTCTTGTTTCTTTATAGGAATCGGTAGTTCATCGAGAACAATGTTCTCGGTCCCATAATGAGCTGCATCGATACGCGGCCGACCTACAACGGGCTACTGACGAGAGGAACTCCATTGGACTTTCCTTAGGGCAGAGAGAGGAGGAAATAAAAGACCTCCGTGCTGAGCTGGCTAAGGCCTATCAAGATCAGACCGATTTGTCTGAGCAGGTAATGATGCTTTTGAAAGCCTATGGGCTTGATACCGGAACGATAGCTAACATTTTGGTCTCACAGCTGCAACAAAAAATTGAGATGATCGGGAAGCTTCGTGAGGAGGTCGACGTGATAAGAACGGAGTCTTTGCGGTAGAAAGAAGGTATGAACCGCTTTGCTGCCAAAAAATAGACTGCTAGAGCCCAGTTATCATCGTCAGAAACCCAACTTCAGAAGATGAAGGAAAAAAGCCTGGTTCAAGCAAGGAGAATTGAGGAGCTTGAGGCTCGGTTGGCCTATGTTCTTGCCAAGGCCGAATCCGATGCCGAAAAGGCAAAGGCCGATGCAGATACGCTCGTGGCCGTCTACCGGGCCGATGCTAAAGCTGCCCAAGTCCAGGCAAGAGAGGCAGCCGAGTCCACCGATATTCGAGCGCATTGGGCCACCGAACTTTCTAAGTGCCGATCCAGAAGGGAAACTCTCGAGGAGATCCATGCCCGTGGCTTCGATCTCGCTAAAGAGATAAAAAGGGCCAAAAAACTCGAAGCTGATGCTGAAGCTCTGGTTTCATATGGCGATGATGATGACGATGAGAGCAAGAGAAGATCCAAAAATGGGGGGGAGCCTGATAAAGAAGAGACCGCTCCTGGTCGAGAAGTTTAGTTCTTAGTTTTTACGTTGTAATCTCCCATGCAGATAAATTTGTATATAGACATATTTCCCTTTTTGCCGACTCGCTTTTGTTTTCGTTTCCCATTTGGCGAGGACTTTATTCATGCCTTATGAATGTTTTCACAATGATTTAAACAATTTAATCAAGTTTGGACTTCGTAGCTTCTGTAACCGAGCGAGCGCTTACTCAAAACTTGGGCAATGTAGCCCTTTAGGCTTATTAGTTGTCAAGGATTCGATCTTGAAGAAATATAGCCCGTAGGCACAATGGTCGAGTGAGTGTTAGCTCGAACTCTAAGTAATGTATCCCGTAGGCTTAATGGTCGAGTGAGTGTTTGCTCGAACTCGAAATAAAAGTAGCCTGTAGGCTTAGTCGAGTGAATGATTCTAACTCGAAGTAATGTAGCCCGTAGGCTTAATGGTCGAGTGAATGTTTGCTCGAACTCAAAATAAAAATAGCCCGTAGGCTTAGTCGAGTGAATGATTCGAACTCAAAATAAAAATAGCCCGTAGGCTTAGTCGAGTGAATGATTCGAACTCGAAATAAAAATAGCCCGTAGGCTTAGTCGAGTGAATGATTCGAACTCAAAATAAAAATAGCCCGTAGGCTTAGTCGAGTGAATGATTC